ATAATTCACGAACAAATGGTGAGATTTAATAAAAAAACTCAAAAAACTAGTTCATTTCCATATGAACTTGATCATGATTTCAAGAAAAACTGACACTGTTATAATACAAATGCAAATGACTGATAGTAACATTATATAAAGTACCGATTCTCCCTCTAATTATGCTTAAGATGATCATGATTCATGTCACCAATATTCAAATGTCATAGTGTAAAAAATTACCAATACATGATCAAGGAGTTGATCAAATTTCTGTGATCTCTGCTGATCATAGAAACAGCAGCAAGTGATTCAAGATTGATGGTCTGTGCTAAATTCAAAAAGAAAAGGAACGACTTCTAGAGAGACAGAGAAGGAAAGAGGGTGGGGTTTAGTCTTTAAAGTGAGATATACTCTATCTCCATTGGTAGAATGGTGGTGGTGGTCATAGCTAGGCGATAATGGTGGTGCAGTGGTGTGGTGGTGGTAGAGTGGTGGGTAAGGGGTCGTACTGGTGGTGGCAGCGATGTTGGTGGTAGGAGTAGCGGCTACATTGTGGTGGTTGGGCTGGCAGCAGCGGTGATAGTAGTGGTGGCGTCCCCTGGGTAATGGTGGTGGGCTGGGTGGCAAGATAGATGTGGCTAAGTGGTAGTGGAGGCTTCGATAGGGACTTTGGTGGTGGTGATAGAGTGATGGTGGCAGAGAGCCAGATGGGAGTCGTTGGAGCCGGAGTATGGGTCGGGTCCCGAGTCCGGGGTTTCATTATGGGTACAGGTACAAGTATAGGTTCTCTGGACCCTTTGGGTCCGGGTACGGGTACGGGTCCATCACTGCTTATTCGGGTTCGAGTCCAGCAGGATCCGGTCCATACCCGACCCATTCCATTGCAACCCCAGGGAGGAGGATGTCCTTATGCGGTGTCAGGTAAGCGTCAAATTTCATGTAAAAAAGTAAGAAAAGAAAGGAGGGAGGGGATGAGGGGGGTATGTTAGTAGTTTTTGGGGAAATTTAATGCTGCTTAAAGATTTCTATGATCCCCCTTAAACGTAGAAGTTTTATCCTCCTCCTTATCCAACCGTCAATTTTTTAATGGAGGGTTAAGATTGTCTCAATCACAATGTCACATCTCTACACTATTTTATTTTTAATTTTTTTTCTATAAACTTTTATGACACCAAATTTTGGACATCCATTCCTCTATTAAATTTGCACTAACGAAAAATATAATTTTTTTTAATAAAATAAAATAACCAAAATACTTCTGAAAGTTTCAAGAGGTATTTTAGTCATTATTTTTTATCAAAAAATTATTGTTAATATTTTTTATAGGTGCGCCCCAATGAGAAGATGGTACGTACCAAATTTTATATTAAGAAAATTTTTATTAAAAAAACTACAAATAAAATACTTTGAGATGTCGGATCTAAGATCAAACGGTGAGTGGCTCTCTTGATAAAAAATGGACGGTTGGATGGTAGGGGGATGATAGAACTTCTATATTACAAGGGGAACATAGAAAGCTTTCCCAAAAGAAAAAGATTGGTAGGGGCTATATGAAATAAGTTTGAAATTGTGGGTTTGTATGTTATTTTTCTAAAGTAAACCTGAAGAATTGTTTTTATAAATTAAGAAAAAGTGTGTGGTTTTCGTCAAGATGTAACATTAAACAATCAAATTAAAGCACACTTCTAATTTTTTTCAAAAATATAACTTTGGTGTAAAAAATTCTTACGATGTCATGAAGATCTATTTTTTTTATCTAATTATAAAATTTTAAACTTCAAAAATATTTCAAATTAAGTAAATATAGAAACATATGAAAATCTTGAAAATGGACGGTCCAAATAATGTGTTACAAGATACACTATTTTTTAGACTCGATAATTTTTTTTTTTTCATATTCATACATCTAGATGTGAAGATGATCAAGTAGAAGATTTGTCAACATCAAAACTATTTTTTATGATGGATTTTTGAAGTGCACCTTAATTCTAGGTTTTAAAGTTGCATCCTTATATAAACTTTTTCCTTGAAGGATAAAAAAGTTGTTTCTATCAACATGTTTTAGCTCATTTCGTAGATAATCAATAGTTTTGGCTCCCCTGAAATAGTACCAGACCATATTGAGAAGTCTCTCTCTTCAATAATTGAATAAGATATTTTATGTGCCAAAATAGGGCTAGGTTTTGGCCATGTAGCAAGACATCCCGTCTTTGCATGTGGAGATCAAGGACTGTAACCCTTTGAATTTGTCCCACAATTGATCAAGCAGACCTACTCACTCTGACAATTTGTTTTTTTAATGGTAATGTATGATTTATTATTAATTTATATATAAAATACAATATGTTCAAACAATGAGACAATATTACAGAAAAAAGTAACCCACAGAGAAGAAGTATAGACTCCTTTAACAAGTAATCACTCTTTGACAATTGATCAAGCTAACCTACTCGCTCTTTTTTTTTTTTTCTGTTTGTCATGTATTACCCGAGGTGTGAAGCTTCTATCTCAAAATTATAAATATTTTAACAACCTTGGCTGAGGACAAATCATGACATTGTGCATTTTGATTGGTTGTTGTGTTCCCCTTAGTATTGATGGCCATGTTTTTTTAAGGTTTGACCCTATTAACTAAAGAATTGTGTCCTTTAAAAAATATAACTTTCTTTGGTACCTACCAGAAGTGGGTTTCCATTTCAATATTTGTTTAAAGTTTGTTGATGAGAGTTACAGTAGTAGATAAGATGTATTTAAAGGAGTGGGGCATTTGAATCATCATTATTGTGCACGAAACGTGGTTGCCATAGTCATATTCATCTCATCCTTCCACTTTCTCTGTGAAAGTTGGCTCTCCACCAAAATGGAGATCAGTAGTCAGTCCTGAAAGTGCAGTTTTTGTGTCAAGATCCTCTATGATGGCCTGAAAATTTATTTTGGCCTGCTGTTGTAAGATTTGAAGTTCTAAAAATGGTGTTGATATAGTGGATCTGTAAATACTTAAAAAATAGAGGGTCCTTTAGATTATGCACTACAATATAACTATTTAAGAGCTTGAATTTTCTCTTATTTTTCATTTCAGATTCATAACTGCCTAGGTAGATGATCAATTTGAGGATTTACCAATGCCAAAATTGTACTTTTTGGTGGGGTTTTGAGGTGCGGCTTTACTTTCTAGCGTAAAACTCATGCTTTACGTAGATTCTCCTGTAGTGTTTTATTTAACTCCTCTTTTCCTTTTCTGCAAGTGAAATGGGCATTGGAATAGTTTGTATTATGGGTTTATTAGTGAGTAATTAATCTAGTGAGCAACCCATCTCTTTTCCATTTATATCTTTCCTTGGTTGTATTTCCTTTTTCATCACATGAATTTGAAAGATGGAGACTGCAAAAAAAAATTAAAGCTAAGAAATTCCTCTCAAATTGAAAAGATAATAGGCCCTTACCTGTGTTTGTTCCCTGGAAAAAACTCTAATTAGGAGTACTGTCAGGACCCCAGATTTTGATTCAATGTAGAAACTATGGTTATTAAAAGGGTACAAATAACATGGACATGTGTTTGTTTTAAAAAAATTATACATAGGTTTGTATACTGATTGTCCAATGTTTAAATGGTCAAATCTAGGTGTTTAAGCACCCAAAAATGTTATTATTTATCATAGAAAATACTCATATCGTGATTCTAGAGTAGACAACTAAATCTTAAGTGTAAGAAATCCTCCCTGGTTAAGTCTTTTGACCGAACGAGTCGTCATCATCATCATAATCACTGCCCTTTCTTAATTGGGGTCTGCATTTTGACCAAAGGAATAAATACAATAATTTTCTTGATTTTTTTGACACATTAACAATTACTATCATTAAAGAAAAGAGCAAAATTCACAAATTATGAGGGCAATTGGTGTGAAAAAAATTCAGGGATGAAAAGTGACAAGTTGTAGGCTTGTAGTTCACTAAACTCTGACAAGGTGAAGTGAATATGGCCCAAGTACTCACCTAAATCATTTTTCCTGTTTGGTGGTAATCTACTGTTAGTTATTAAATTGGGAGAGGAGATCAACCATAGATTATAAAAGCATATATCTTCATCTAGGTATGTCATATATGGTCACCATAATTATTGGTCGCATTTCACATAAATATCAAAAAGTGATCCATTTTATTTATTGATAACTCAGTAGTATGTTTCAATAACATCTCTTAGATCAGTCAGATTGTGATCGGCTTTGTTAGCATTTCCAAACCAAAGTTTACAGATAATTACCCAATGTCCCTTCTATCACGAGAAATAAATAAGGGAAGTTTTGGTACACGTCAAAATACTCACGTGAAAGTATTTTTTACATGAAAAAACTCCCTAAAGTGATCTGGTGTAGGAATTTTTTTCATGTCAAATGGCTTCAGGTGAAAAAAATGCGCTGGGATCAATTGATATGAAAAACCTTTCACACCTTGTCACATGAAGGAGTTTTTTCACATGAAAATGCTTTCACAAAAGAATTTCCACGCTCTTTCACATTCATACTCGAGGACAATCAAGAAGAGAGAAGAGGAATCTTCCATAAAAATTTCTTGGATCAATAATAGGAGTTTTGTCAAATCAAAACAAGCTCAAGCTTGTACAAAGAGATGACAACACAATATATCGTCCTAACTCAAAGGTGGACAAGGGATCTCCTATTAATACCGTCATATTCATGCCAATACCCTGCAATTCCTTCATCCATGAAAGTTGCAGGAATACATCAAACATAAGAAACCAACACAAACAAAATTCAAAATGCAACATGAACAATTGTTCAATTCATGAATGAATAAGGAATCAGAGAGAGAGGGTCATATTCATGCCAATACCCTGCAATTCCTTCATCCATGAAAGTTGCAGGAATACATCAAACATAAGAAACCAACACAAACAAAATTCAAAATGCAACATGAATAATTGTTCAATTCATGAATGAATAAGGAATCAGAGGGAGAGGGAGAGGGAGAGGGAGAGGGAGAGAGCACCTACGCAAACAGAAACATAATTCAGAAGCAACTTGAATTGAACAAGAATACATTCCAGAGACAAGACACAGAGGAACCCCAACTTGGAGACCACGGCATGAACAACTCAAAGAGTCCCCCAACACAGCAAGAACCTGCAACCTACCTATTTTTACAAGTCGTGAAAAAAAGAGTTCCACCACTGGACTACAGGTGGATCATATTAGGTAGCAAATGTATGACTCCATAGAAGCTGATTATACACATTTGACAACAAATTCACTAAACTTGCCTAAACTATCAGAGAACCCAAAAACTCAATTCTTATGCCGTAAGAAGCCCAATAGCCTTACCTTTTTCCTTGGCCCCAAAACCTATCGACCCTCAGTGCTGAAAAGTTGTGAGAAAACTTTACTGGTGGACACATCTGAAAGATCATCTGCAGGACCTGCGGACCCATACCCTTCTCTCCCCTCATCATTCTCCTCTGAAGCACCAAGCTGAGTGATCCTCAAAGGAAGCTCAGCGATCCTGTTCGTGCTATCTTCATCAGGTTCACTCCTCATGGCAGTCTCTTGAAGTTGCAATGCATACTCCAGGTTCCACAAAACATCACCCATGGTTGGACGATCCACACCATACTCTGCTAAGCATTTGTCAGCTGTCTCCCCAAACTTCCTAAGTGAATCTGCACTTATCTGACCTACCAGCCTTAGGTCTATGATTTGATCAAGCTGCCCCTTCTTTTGCCATTTCATAGCCCACTCAGCCAAGTTCACCTTCTCTCTAGGGAGCGTGGGGTCTATCACAGGCCGTGCACAAAGAACTTCAAGCATCACCACCCCAAATGAATACACATCTGATTTCTCTGTTAGCTGCTGCCTCCTAAAATACTCAGGATCCAGATACCCGAAACTGCCCTTCACTGCTGTGCTCACGTGGGTCTGGTCGAGGTCGGGCCCGGTCTTTGAAAGCCCAAAATCAGCCACCTTTGCCATGAGGTTTTCGTCCAAAAGTATGTTCGCTGACTTGACATCTCGATGGATGATACCTTGGGCAGAACCAGTGTGGAGATAATGGAGCCCACGAGCTGAGCCTATGCAAATCTCGAGCCTTTGCTTCCAACTCAATGGTGGGAGCTCGGAGCCATAGAGGTGGTTCTTGAGTGTACCATTGGCCATGTACTCGTACACGAGAATCATCTCATTGCGCTCGTCACAATAACCAATAAGCGAAACTAGGTGGCGGTGCCTGAATTTTGAGAGCATTTCGATTTCGGTTTGGAACTCCGTTAGGCCTTGTTGGGACCTCGGGTTACCTCGTTTCACCGCAACTTGGGTCCCATCCCTCAATGTTCCTTTATACACCTTTCCAAACCCACCTACACCAATGACCCAGTTTTCATCAAAGTTGTTTGTGGCTTCTTGGATCTCAGCAAAGGAGAATCGGAAACCTAGGCTCGAATTCAGACCGGATGAAACCGTGGTTGCGTTTGAGAACTTGCTCACTGTGCTATGAGAGTTTGCCCCATTCACAGAGAAAGGGATCCATGATTTTGATTGGTGTTTCTTCAGTTTCATTGATCTTCTCTTGCAGAAGAGCAATCCCAAAATCAAAAGGAGAACAAGGGCAGAAGATCCTAATGCCAAACCCAAAATCAACCCAACTTTCCCCTTTGAACCTATAACCAAAGATGGGTTTGCCGCAAATAAGCCATCAAGGCTTCCCACTGAGTTGTTCATCTTCATAATCTCTAATCCATTCAGTATGGCATTTGGGTCAACACCAGGTATACTCGAAGGGCCAATACTTACCCTCATGCTACTGCTTGACTTATCAGTTACAGGAGTGACAAAATCAATGAAGTATGGAGAAGCCAAGCTCGATGTAAGAGCAGAAAGATCGAGATCTCGAGAAGCCGACCAATCACCAATGTAAACATTGAAGTAGAGCAGGTTGAGTGCAGTGCTCACAATATCGCAAAAGTGCATCCTTAAGAAATATGTGAAATTAGGGTCCACTGTAAAGTTCCAGGTTATGTTGAAGTTAGTATTCGCAACATTTGCAGAGTTCATCTCCTCAGCTGTGGAATACACAGCATCAGGTGCTGTATCTTGGGTGGCTCCTCCCCTTCTATAATTGAGATTTCCTGTAAAAGATTTTGATTTGGCAGTGGATTTTTCAAGAAGAAAGCCCTGATCAGGAATCCAAGTTCTTCCCAGAGTGTCGTTTGCAGGGGTAACCATGGGTCCCCCAATATTGACCCTGAACATAGTCTCAAAAGCTTGTTCGGAGAGGGTATTAAAGGACCCAACTGGAAGAACTGTACGAGCACTAGCATGGATGAGTTCATCAGGTGCAGAAATCACTTCAATGGCATTGATGAATGCCAATGGTGACTGGATTGAAGGCCTAAAGGTGAGGACTAGCCTATCTGAAGTTACATTGATAAGGTACTCCTTGAGAATACTTGAATCACTCGGCGGTTGAAAGTCTTGGAGTAGAACAATCTTTTCGGCTGAAACTGTGAAAATTGCAGTTTTCAGATTGTAGTTTTGAGCGACAAAGGGGAAGAAATAGAGGCGAATCCAGTGGTACCCTTGCTTTTGGATAGAGAAACTGTAGGAAGATGGTCCAGTTAAGACTCGAGCAGTGGAATAGAGAGCAGAAGAGAGAGAATTAAGGCTGGTGCTCGCAAGAATGTCAGAAGGGGCTATAACATCAAAAGAATTGCGGTCATCAGCCACGAAAACTCGACCATCAATGGTGGTATTGGCGGAGGAGCCACAGTCTATCAGATAATTGTCAACTGGTGTGAAGCTCAGAGAACGAGTAGAGAGAGAAAACAGAAAAACAACCCCAAAAAGCAGAAGAAAAGACCCTGCTTCTCTGATTGTCTTGGCCATTAGGAAAGGAAAATAAACCATTCACATCAAGCATTCAAGACCCCTAGTAGACCTTCATAAAACAAGCAAACCCCAATCTCTTTATGTCAAGAACGGGTTTCAAACTCCATGAAAACCTGATCCCAGTTTTGTTATGCAAAATCCTGGAACCCCAAAATCGAAATTCAATGGGCAATGAATCTAATCAAACCTAATCTGCCAATTTTTCCAAAAAAAGGAGCAAAAAGAAAACACAAACCCTCGCGAATCAAAGCACGAGATCTGACGATGAAGCAGAGAGAGAAAACCCAGATAAATTTAATTTCTTATAGTCTTGAGCTGAGAAAATTTCCAAATCGATCATATTGACAAGCTCAGGAGATGGAAGAGAAATGAAAAAATAAAATTGAAAACGAATAATGCATGCCAACTCCAAGTGCGTGAAAGCGAGAAGAAAAGTTCAACAGCTGGCCTTATTTCTCTCTCTCTAGACCTGATCAACAAAGAACACTGAGATTTTATTTAGGAAGATGGGTACCAGAATCACCTACTTACTGTAGCATTCACCCCGCTCTAATGCCCTGCTCTGCTCTGCTTGCCACCGAGAACACAGCTTGAAACTGACAGAGAGAGAGAGTCGCTTCAGACATAGAAATCTACAGATTTTAGAGAGAGAAAGAGAGGGGTTGGATAAACGAGAGTAGTCCGAAACGAGGGAGCGAGTGGAGAGATTCGAACCTCGTAAATGCTTTTACGACCGTAACCGGATCGGCTGCTCACAAAATCGGCTCCTCTCTTCAAAAGCGATTTGGCCAATTTTGATTGGCTATTCACTTTGAGTGGTAAAATCGAACCGGAGTGATTAACGGGATATGAACTTGCAAAACAGTTTGAATAAAAATTAAAATATTTTATAAAACATGTAATTTGTATATAGCTTAAGCTCAAAACAATCAAAATAAAGCGTACCTTCAAAGAGTGTGGGAAAATTTGGTTTTTATATTGGAAATTTTTGTGATAACCTTAAAATATATTTTTATCTTTAATTATAAAATGTAAAGCTTAAAAAGTAACGTAGATCGAGTGGATCTATGAAAACAGAAAATTTTTGAAAATTGATAGTAAAAAAATACGTTACAAGATGTACTATTGCTAAAACTTGAAATCATTTTTTCTCATGTCCATGCATCTTGATGTCGAGATGATCAATTTGAAGATATTTGAACATCAAAACAACCTCTTCTAAGGGAACTTTTGAAATGGGCTTTAATTTGATTGTTTAGAGCCTCGGCTTTATATAAACGTTTTCCTTTAAAAAAAGGGAAAAATTTATATAGATCCTAGGCTCTAACCAATCACATTTGACCCTACTTCAAAAATTTTACTAGAACAGATTGTTTTTATGCTCAAATATACTCGAATTGATCATCTCGACATCAAGATGCATGGATATGAGAAAAAAAATGAATTTTAAGTTTTGAAAATAGTGTATCTTGTAACACATTTAGGACTATCAATTTTCAATTGTTCATAGATCTGCGCACTATACAATATTTTTTAAGCTTTAAATTTTATAATTAAAAATAAAAACATAATTTAAGGCTCCCACCAAAATTTCCAATATTGTAACCATATTTCTCGATACTATTTGAAGGAGGGCTCTAATTTGATTGTTTAGAGCCTCCGCTCTATACAAATCGAACACTTTAAAAAAAAGGTGTGCACTGTTCATAAAAGGATTTGGCTCGTCTTTCTATTTTGGCGAATTGAGATGGCCGCTCTAGTTTTCGATCAGGATCCAAATGACTTTGTTTAGGGGGGAAAGTTTTAAACGTTAAAATGGATGTTTACTAAAAGTGCACCCACTTTACTACATAGGGAAAAGTTTATATAGAGAGGCTCTAAACAATCAAATTAGAGCCTATCTCAAAAATTTCACAAGAAGAGATTGTTTTAATACCCAAATACCCTCAAATTTATCATCTTGACATCAAGATGCATGGACAAGAAAAAAAATAGATTTCAAATTTTAGAAATAGTGCATTTTGTAATGCATTTTTGGACCGTCAATTTTCAAGATTTTTAAATTTTCATAGGTATGTTGATTTACACTATTTTTTAAGCTTTAAACTTTATAAATAAAGATGAAAATATACTTTAAGGCTATCATAAAGATTTCTAGTGTTGAAACCACATTTCTCGACACTATTTGAAAGTAGGTTCTAATTTGATTGTTTAGAGCCTATGCTCTGTACAAATCGCACCCTAGACAATCAGAAAGAAAATTAATAAACTATTTTTATTTAAAAAAATTATTTATTTATTTCATATTCATGATCACTTTGACTTAGATCCTAATATCATAAAACCATCTTTAAAATTGATTTTAGAAGGGGGTTGCATATATACATATGAGTTGACTGATTCTTAGAAGGAAAATTGTATCATGCGGGCTGGACCGCATTTCTATATATGCTATCTAAAAAGTATAAAGCATAAGATGGATACAAGTAGGTGTTCTATCTAAAAACAATAGAAACTAAAGTCCATATGTTTTCTTACTAAAATTATTATTTTTAATTTTTAAAATTTATTTATTTATTCATAATCATGATCTCTATGAGATTACATGTCTTTAAAAAATAAGTCTTAAAATCCATTTAAAAAATAAATTTATTAAAAGACTCATATTTCTACATATGCGGGCTTGGCCGCATAGAAACTAGATCCTTTATAGAAATCCATCCCTTTTAATGGAGAGAGAGAGGAGAAAGAGAGAGTATCTCGTCTATGGTTGGGCAAATTAGGAGATGGTTGGGGTGACATATATATGAAGTGGGTTGTGGATGGTAGATGGCCTAACATTCTTCTTTAATACCAAAGATATCCCGTCCTATTTTTGTGATCCATAGAGTAGTCATTTGTTTATCGCCATCCGATTGTTGGATGAGGTTTATACAATGGTGCGGTTTATATAAGGCTGAGGCTCTAAGCAATCAAAATAAATTATACTTTCAAATAGTTTTGAGAAATTTGGTTTCAATTCTAGAAATCTTTGTGATAGCCTTAAAATATATATTTATTTTTAATTATAAAATTTAAAACTTAAAAATAGGGTATATCGAGTAGATCTATGGAAATTTTGAAAATTAACGGTGCAAAAATGCATTATAAGATGCACTACTTTTAGAACTTGAAATCAAAATTTTATTTTATTTTCCATGTCCACACTAATTGAGGTCGAAATGATCAATTTGAAGACCTTTGGGGATCAAAAAACCTCTTCTAATGAAATTTTTGAGGTGCGCCCTAATTCGATTTTTTAGAGCCTCGCACTTTATATAAAGTACCTACTCTGCACATCTAAATGTATTGAAAGATGTAATTCTGGTGTCAAAAAGTTTTACGTTGGCTTGAAATTTACGTTCAACCCTAATTTATAAAATCTAAAATTTAAAAAATGGTGTAGGTTGAGAAAATTTATAAACACTTGAAAGTCTAAAAATAGAAAATCTAAATAGCATAGTTCTTTTTTTGTTAATATCCATACATCCTAAGATTGAGAAGACTAATTAAAAGGTTTTCCAAATTGAGAATACTCTTTTCTACTGAACTTATGAGATGCACCTTATTTCTTCAGTGTAAGGTCTGTAAGCGTCGAACCACCTATAAACCCCACCAAAAAAACCCACAATTTTAGGTCATTAATAAAAGAAGAAGAAGAGGGGTACTGAGTATAAAAAAACCATTAGAATAACAATGAATGAGGCCAAATGCCTACCTGACCCTCAAATACGCACTGGCATATATGGCGGGGTTTATATAAACATTTTTCATTCACGTAGACGCTAGGGTTTGAGAGAGACGCAGGAAGAGATTGATATTGCACACGCACAGAGAGTCGAAGTTGCAATTCTCAAGCTATGGTAGATTGATTTTTGAGAGTCAGTAGCAATGCCATGCGTGCGTGCACTGAAGGAGTGGGATATTTTTTAGAGAGAGAGTGAATGGTTTGAGGCAATCAACTGTAGAGAGAGAAAATTTTGAGGTTCGCCTTGGATTTTTCAACCCCTACTGTCTCATTTGAAGCACACGCTCTCTTTGTTACTTGCCAAGCATCTTCTCTTCTGATTATCGATTCCTTTTCACCCCCTTCGAAAGATGTTTTGGGGTTGACCGAGTGGGCCAGAAGAACCTGGAACCTACCCTATCTCCTGTTGTTCGTTCATTTGGGATCAATCGAATTGCTTTTTATCTGTCTTTGGCTGTTGATGTCCGTAGAGTGATTGCTCGAAAACACTGGAGGGTGCAGAACAAGTTGTTGACCATTGATCAATGGAAACCCAATGATCACTCATCCCTGATCCTTATGATTCATTCTTGGGTATGTTTTTGGGGTCTCCCCCTCCATGCTTGGAACTTAGGCGCCTTTCAGAGTCTTGTTAATCATTGTGGGGAATATTGTGTAGTGGATTGGGATTCTGTGGTGGGCCAGGATCTGTCCTTTGTTAGAATCAAAGTCTTACGATTACCTAAGTCTCTGATCCCTAAGTAAATTGATCTCAAAGTTGGCCATGACTATTTTCTTTTAGATATTACTGTTGAAGGCAATTCTATCCCTCATTCCGTTCAACTTTGGATCATGATACAAAGACTGTGATTGAAAATGAACCACTTGAATCTTGGGTGGAGGTTGTCAAGAAACCTTCTTCCAAATATCATAAACCAGCTTCAGCAGAGCCCTTCATTGCGAGGCACACACCCACTGTTTTCAGGCCCCCTTCGACACATGGCAAGGCTAAGATTCTCCCATCGATTGGATCCTCCAGATCAACCTCCTCTTGCAATTCAAATTCAACAGTTATAGTGAGAAAAATGTGGATCCCAACCGGCTGCTTGTTTAAAGCTGATTTTATGGGATTTCCTTTTAATGGTGCAAAACACTCTAAGGAAGGTTTCAATTGGATTGTCTTTGACGGTCTTGGACCTCCATGGTATTATCTTTTTAGAAAGGGCCCCGAGATCATACTCTTTTATTTCCTCTCCTAGGAAAGCTACGGTGGGTAGTTTCCTTAGATTGTTGACCGTCCTACTATCATGGAAGGTAATTATGCATCTGGTGCAATCCCTCATTTGGATAGTACACGTTATTGTCTTGCTACTATGGAAGGTGAAGATCCTTCATTGGACGATGCACCCTCTTTGGACAGTGAAGAAGCTAATTTAGAAGCGGAGGTTGCAGTTAATGGTCGAATCATGGCTCTGGTTCCGACACTTATTACTACGGTTGTACCTTTGGCAGTCGTTGCCCCTAAGTTTCTTGACAACCAAGCACAAGTGTATGAGGTCGATCTCCCTGTGGTTACTACTGAATCGCTGATTGATTCCCCCCCAACATGCAATCCGAGGACCATGCTACGTACTTGGGTATGTTAGGGGACATGGGTGCCTTATTCCAAGCTCCAATTCAACAGGTTCCAGTACTATGGATGCCATTGCCCAGGAAGCTGCTGAGGCAATGACCAATAAACTTGTCCCTGCTTCGATGGCTGATACCTCTATGAAAGATTTGAATGCTTCCTCTTTTCCACCTGCTTCTGCTCTTGCAAGTGAGTCTCCTATCATCGACCTTGATGAATATGATGTTATTCCCTCTTTGAAAACCCAAGCCACTGCAAAATCTAAAGGCAAGAGAATAATTTCACATAAACCTACTCGTTCCTCATATAGACTTGCAGCTCGATGCACCATACCTCGCTCGATGGCTGGTGGTATTTCATTTAGAGTC